ACCCCTGGGTGGGGGTATTTGTCGAGAGGAAATGAAATGAAATGAAATCCATGAATAAAAATATTGTCAATCGAAATGGTAGCGGATTTCAAAAAGTAATAGTTGTTCCTTTGCAGTGCTTCTAGTCAGACATGGCATGCTGCATCGTCTGGCACACACTATGTGAACACTCTAACGTTGTCGAAAAATGCTATAACATCTACACGTGGAAGTGAGCTTTTTTTTATTTTTTACAAACATGCTTCAGGTTTCTCTCAAAACAACGTTCGCATGTTCCGAATTAGAAATAAGAACTCGTAACAAAAGTGCTTTTCCAGGTGTCTCGCGTAAACTCGTACCGAACGGTAAAAACTCGATGGATGTAGAGAAGCAGGTGAAAATGTTTCTGAAGTGGAGGAATCTTATCCTTCTTTTAGTGGTTAGTTTTTTTTAATCCTTCGAGTTTTCACAGTCATCTAAATAAGGGCGCTGTTTGGCTTGGAGGGGGCATTTAGCGTTTGTGCTAGTTCCTTTTGTTACTTCATGTTAAATAACAGGCGTCACTTTGGTGAGACCGGTAAACTCTTGTGAAGCTGCGAAATGGTGCGAGTGAGTCACTTTGATCAGAGGGATTCACAGGTCTCTACAAGGTGACCTACAAGCTTCACTGGGTACCATTCGGTGTCCCACCAAGCCAGCCGGGACCAATTACGTTATTTTGAGCTAAGGCCGCCTTAGAACTTACGCTCCAATTGACTCCGGGGGTGAAGGCCGTACGCTCATTCTGATACGGTAGAGGGCACGGGCGTGCCAACGAGGAACACTTTCTACGCGTCTCCGCCCATTTCTCACCATCTGGTCATCGCGGAAAATGTCATTGAGAGTAGCACTTTAGTCAGAGGTGCGCCTTTGTGCTGAGGAACGTTCTTGAAAATGCCACAACTTCTTGCTTGCAATAAATAGAATACAGAAAATTTCAGAGTACAAGAATTACAGAATAAATACAGTCTCATCACCTTTACTTACTCCAACCTCTTTTGATGCATCCCAATGTCGTGCTGATTTCAGGGAAATGAAATAGAGCGCCTATGCGCTTGGCTTCATCCTTTAGCAGAAACAACAGAAGAAGGCCTTGCTCCAGTGGAACAATGGATGAAAAGCACATTGCCTGGTGAGGTTTTTCAACTGTTCCCAGATAATCGTACAGTTTGATTTCGTCCAGACATTCCTACCATTCATTCATTCATTCATTCATTCATTCATTCATTCATTCATTCATTCCTTCATTCACTTGTTTAACAGCAAACAACAGGTCTCCCTTTCAAAGCTAACTGGCTCTTTGTTTCTAGCTTTTTTGTTTTTAGCTGTTACCAAACCTTTCTTTTTCCAGCCCGATTTAGGTTGGTAATACGCATGCTCGTTCCTGCTGAAGGAAATACGTGTTAGTTTCCCAGATTTAACGTCTTCTATCGTCATGCATGTTTGACGATGTATGTCACGGCAATGTCGTGTGACAAATTCGAGCAAAAAATACCATTTAAAAAGAGCTGTGGAGCGGGATAAAGGGGCAAGGGTGTGAACAAAAGCAGCTGTGAACAAGAGATGTGTGACGGTCACGAGCAGCGAGTCGTACTGACGTCAGCCTTACAATTAAAGGTACAGTCTTTGCTGCTCGTGTAGGTGGAGATATGCGAAGGGGCAGAAATAGGCTTCCTGCACTGCCGCGTCACCCTTTCTAGCGCCTTGAAAGACGGGCATCTTGGACAGCACGGGAGTGGTGCGGGACTTCCCACTCATGGCGAGATAGGCCTTGCAAGCCGGTGACATGCGCAGCAACCGCACCAGAACCCAACCCAAACTAGCGCAGAAGCGTTCGCTGCGCGTCGACTCCGTTTCCCAAGCCAACTCGTACTGGGTTGCCGCGAATGGGAATGACTACTCCACACCGTATAGCCAATTGTTCCCTGTCTCCGTCACACGATCAGCGTGAGCTGTCCCTCTAGGGTATTCTCGGACAACTGTCAGTTAATTGGGTAATATTTCATTTCATTCAGAAATTCGAGTTGAAACACGAGTGCTGAAAGAGAACTCGAAGTTGGCATGGGAGATATCACCGGAACTGGCTGTGAACCTTCCGACAAGGTTAGTTAGACTCTGCGCGTGTGAGTGCGGGTCAGGAGATTGGAGTTCACGCGAATAGACGTACTGTGACTCTTCCGCCTGAAGCCAGTTGGTATTGTGACGCCTTTCTGACCGCCCTCTGTAGATTGACTCTCCTGACCCGTAACTTTCTTTGACTTATCCCTGATTTTTGTATTGTTACCTTCTTCAGATTCCGTACGTGCCCAACTCTTCGTGATACCCTACAGGAAATGGTTCGACTACAACCAGAAGCGGTTTCCCATCTCCCGGACGCGTTGCCACTCTTTCTTGGGGACACGACGGTGTTCGAGCATACCGATGTGGGTTGCCAAAACTTCCAGTCGATTGTCATGAGTAGTTCAAAGGCGCATTCTGCGGTCATTAGATGGGCGGAGACAGAGAGCCCTTGTGCCTCACTCATTAATTCGCGATGGCGCCATGGAGATGGAGCCAATGAGGGATCTCCGTAGCTATGAGTCTCCGCCCATCCTGCTATCGCATAATGTGCATTAGAAGGGGGAATTGTCTTGATTAGTTACTTCCCCTTCAGATCGCCCACGTCCTGACATGGGCTACCTGCTCTCCTGTGATGGCGTTGTCTCTTCTCACTCCTCGTCAATATCCACTTCATCCAGTCACGGTACAGTACGCTGTTCGTGTGCTGCGCTCCTACCCTGCCGACGCGTTGCTGATGTACATTCCACAGCTGGTACAGGCTGTCAGACATGACACCGTAAGTTCCACTGGAGTTTGAGGTCTTTTCACTGAACTATAGGGCACCTATTGTTTCCAGATGGGTTATGTAGCCGAGCTGATCGTATGGCTAGCTAGTCATTCGCAGCTTTTGGCTCATCAGCTGATCTGGAATATGGAGACGAATATGTATACTGATGAGGATCAGCAAAAACAAGCATCCTGTGCTATTCGATGCTCTAAACGACATCATAAAGAAGGTCGTCCTAAAGAGTGACGTCATTTGCCATCGATTTGCTTGAAAAAATTGTCGTCATTCAGAGCACAAGCCAGCTCGAAGGTGCAGCACGTCGCTTCCATGAGGCTGAGTTCGCACTGTTCCACAAACTGACAGCAATCTCTGGCACGATAAAGCCATATCCGAAGGGTGATGCAAGGAAAAAGGCTTGTCTCAAAGCGTTGGCTGAGGTAGGCAAGGCTTAACCGATTTTTACATAGTGGCTGCCTGGCAATACTTGCTGCTAGAGTTGACCAACAGCGCTCCCACCGCTAGTCTCTGAACCGTTGAAATTGCTAGTTCAATCACACCTGGGGCAGAGCGTAGCAGTGGCAGATCGATTATGGAGCGCGGCTGGACGTAATCGCGGCGTATTGAATGGTGGAGTATGAACGCGGCTTAACACGTCTTACACTATATCGCCGTAGGATCCCTTCCTTTCACCTAACCTCGCC